ATTCATACATCGTGGAAAACTTATGTTTTCAGCAGAGATAGATAAAGGATCACACTATTTTATTGGCAACAAATCAAATTATTTAAGTGGATTTCCTCCCAGTTGTTGTTAGAGCATATTTTCTTAGCTTGTTTTTTCTTATCTGCCACGCTCACTATTTTCTCAAGGATTAGCAATTTTACTAATCATTTTCAAGAAATATTGATTTTTTTTTTTTTTTTAGTATTAACCTCTCAGTATCCGGTAATCACATTGGATCCTGATTAATCCAGAATTAACCCGCGTCGGACCCTATTAGGAGAAAGTTTTATCAATGCCTGTTTCTCCATTCACAAGATTAGAACTCGAGATTTTACTTAAGATGAATCAAATTTCTTTCATTCAAATCAACAGATCGTAAGTAGAAATATTGAATTTATGATATAGGTTAGCAACGTGTGTCAGGTTGAAAAGTTAAAGTTGGTCAATATATTCCTTAGTAGACTGATCATAAGAATTCTTTGGATTTCTCTTCTTGCTAGTTGTGCAGACAAATCTTGAGGTGGATGAGTTATTGACCGTGGATGTACCTTGCATTGTCGCCCTTACACCCTCAGTGGCTGTCCAAATTAAATACAACGGTCCCATGAGAAGGGCAGTTTTCGGGGTAAGTGGTTCGGATTCTGCAATCTGCTATTGACAGCTTAGTTATACAATGATCCCTATGAAAATCCCATCATTACAAGAATTCAAGGACACTCTTTTGTACCTTTGTAGTTGCCAAATTTGACAAGTACATTCCCGTTTGCTTTGAGAGCAGCGGCTAATTCTTGGTTTTTGGTTTGTAAACTACAGGGTGACAATTTGGTTCCAGCCGTACTAACAGGACCCGGCATTGTCTTCATCCAGAGTCTACCATTTCATCTGGCTTTCTCAGAGAAAAATCACTAGGTAAAACCTGGTTCTGGTATCATAAATAATACTCAAACCAGCACCATTGAAACATTTTTTTTTTCTCTACCATTAGTACTAATAATCATCTTGGCTCAACAAAGTGATTGTGTTCTGGCTTGCAAGGCAGTCACGTCTCCAAACATGAGGGAAAATCCAAATATTTTCATTCAGATGGCCATTTTCATTTTCATGGCATATGTTGTAATTGTATCTTCATTAATATTGATGGATGTGTGATTATTTGAAGGAACAATAGTACAGTGATTTTTACTTTTATTTTTGCAATGCTGAAGTAAATTTATAGCTATTTAAATCAGACACTTGATCTAAGCTTCAATTTGGTTTTCCAGAAAATATGACCAGAAGAAAGGTTGTGGTTACATTACATTCTATGAAGTAAAAATAATTTTAAAAAAGGAGTATATTTTTATGATTTTAAAAAAATAAAACAAGAATATGTATTCTAATTTTCATTGGTGTGGCTTTTATGGTTTGTCTGACAATGTTTGGCTTGGATCATTTTTATTCAACTTTTCATTTAAAAACATAAATTTGTAATTTTCAATTAACATTTTATATAATGTTATTAATTTTAATAAAATTTTATATATTTTTAAATATTAAAAAACAATATATATATATATATATAAACTTACAAATATAAAAGTACAAGGCAACGCTAAGTCACTAACAAAATAAAGCCTTAGTTTTAATATTTTATATTTTTAGAAATAACTAGGAGTCTAGAATTATAGTCTACTAGAGGATTTGGATACATGTTATTTAATTTGTTACACAAAATTACCCAAAATTAGATGGTGTTGGTTGTAAAATAGAAATATTACATATTTATAAAAATAAGTTTGTTATTTTGCAGTCTGTATTGTTTTAAATTGTAAAATAAAAATTCTTGGATAAAAGAAGAAATCTAATATTAGGAGATCACATCTCTCATTCAAGAGTTGTATTGAAATTTAAAACAATTTAAACTATCAAATAGTTTTTCATATAACAATTTATAATGTTTAAATTCAAATAAAAAAAAATTGTTTTTTTTATGAACTTCAAATTCAAATAAATATTTTGGGTCAAAGCCCGTTATCATTCTAAGAAAAACTTTGGGTAAAATGGATTCGGCCCGTCTTAAGAAAAGCAAAGGGAAAGAAAAAAAAAAAAAAAACAAAATATATAAAACGCTGTCGGTTTGAGTGGCGGTGCCTGTACACTATTTATTCAGATAGAGAAATTCTGACAAAAGAAATTCCAATTCCAAATTATCTGATTCAGAAGTAACCTGAATGCGATAATTCCCTTTTCTCTCTCTCAAGCCTCCCGAGACTCTTTTACGAACCCTAACCCTAACAATTCACGAAGATGAATTGATGATTGTGTGTCTTGCGGTCGCTTGATTTGATCGAGATTATCCGATCGTTCGATATCTCCTCCTCAACTTCTTTTCCGGCTGCGGGATTTCTCTTTGGAGTTGGCGACTCTTGGAAAGAAGATTTCTCCACCAATCTACAAACTCCGCGGACGATCTGTTCGAGATTTGAAGATTCTTTTGCTGATTCGATGTTGAATCGATTGAATAATTGAAGGATCCGGTTACGAGGACATGTACAAAGAGGGCTTCTTGGTTTTCATCTCTAGCCTTGACGTGGTTTGCACCGAATTGATGGAATTCCGTCGGTTCCTGAATTGGAGTTAGATTTCTTGAAGGTCGCGGATTACATCGGAGAAGATTCAGCGAGTTTGGTTAGAGATTAGAGATAAAGGAAATAAATTCCTTTTTGTACTGTTTTTATCATCTTCTTGAGTGAATATCAGGCCTTGTTTTTTGAAGGCTGATAGTCTCTTTTTATGTTCATCTTTTCGTATTATTAAATTTTTTTTGAATCTGAGGAAAAAAAAATGGCTGTTTATTACAAGTTTAAGAGTGCAAGAGATTTTGATTCCATTCCAATGGATGGTGCCTTTATTAGCGTTGGTACTTTGAAAGAAAAAATTTTTGAATCAAAGCACTTGGGCAGGGGTACAGACTTCGATCTTGTGGTCACTAACGCCCAAACTAACGAAGGTTGGTCTTGTTTTCTGTTAGATTTAATTCATGGGTTGTTCTTCTTAACTTGGAACAAACTTTTGGGCGGAGCTTTGTGGGTTTCTTCTCAAGTTGTCAATGGTTTGAGGCTCTTAAAACTATTATAGATTAAAAATTAGGGTTTTTGGCACCTGGGAAGGGAAATTATAAATTGGTTTCAAGGATTTGAGCTTCTAATGCTGATTTTCTTTCATTATTCTGTCAATAGCTTGCTAGTGAAAGCTTGCCCAATGTGAACATACAATGATTCGTGTGGGCATTCTGATTGTTTTAGTTATCCTTTATAATTTCACTTATAAGTTATAATACTAAATTAATCTCTCTTAATAATGGTTTCTGGGGCTGTCGTCGGGGTGTGTCAGAGCTCGCTCTTCTTACTATGACTGGATGCAAAAATTGCATGTTACTTAATTGCTTTCTGGTTCATGGATTGAAATAATGTTTTGCATTGTTTTTATAGACTCTGTTCTGTTTTCTCAATTTCAGAATATCTTGATGAAGCAATGTTAATCCCAAAAAATACATCTGTTTTAATTCGCCGGGTTCCTGGAAGACCTCGTTTGCCCATTGTTGCGGCACCAGCGTACTATTTCTATCTTTGAATTCTGGATCATTTGTAGTATTTGTGGTGAATTTATCACCAAGATTTAGAATGAAATGTTCTTCTGTTGCTTTAGCTGTAACTAGTCTCCATAACCTTGAATATGTCATGGAGCTTTTACATGACTCATGTACCGCCACTTTGCTGTCATCTAAAACAATAAGGATTAGATTAAAATTTGGCTTTTGTTTTACATTTCAGGCCAAAGGTGGAAAACAATGTTGAGAGCTCTCAACCAGAAAAGTCTAGCTTCCCTGAGGCTGATTTATCTGTTATGAAATATGTAAGCTTTCCTCTTGATTTATGTTCTCTTTTTTTGTGTGTGTGTGTGTGTGGGGGGGGGGTGTTGGGATTTGTTTTGTTTCAAGTTAACAATTGTTTGCTGTCGTGGTTTTTCATGCAATGACATGTTTAACCGGTTATGAGAAAAGCCATATGAAGCCTGAAGGTATTAATAACTTTGATTTGTATTTGTAGCCTGAAGATTCTGAATGGGATGAATTTGGAAATGATTTATATTCAATTCCTGAAATGCTGCCTGCCCAGTCAAGTAATCCAGTTGCAGATGCCCCACCCGAAAATAAAGCTGATGAAGACAGCAAAATTAAGGCTTTAATTGATACTCCAGCCTTGGATTGGCAGCGGTGAGATGCCATTATTTGGTTTATTCCCTTGATCTCTTGTCCTTTGTTTATTTACTGTCTAACAAATTTGTCTTGAATTTGCAGCCAAGGGGCTGATGGTTTTGGACCTGGTAGAGGCTTTGGAAGGGGTATGGGTGGAAGGATGGGTGGACGTGGTTTTGGTAATTCTCTTACAATGTTTTTGTTACATTTCTGTTTATCTTCATAATCAAGTATCTGTCTGTGCATGCTGATGGTTTTGGATCTGGTGAGAACCCTGAAGGGGTTAATGGAGTGTTATGGATTAAAGGAGGAGAGGATGTTGTTTCTGTCTCTCCTATGCCATCACCTTACTTCGAAAAAAGTGTTTCTTGTATGCTGTTTTGATTATTGTCTAACATTTCTCATTGTGAAATATCTATTTGCACGTGCATCTGCTTGCCTTTTGTATGCTCTTCTAAGCTCTAATTGTACTGCTCACTTGAATATGGAGCTGAACTTTATGTTTTCTTTATTGAGGTCGATTAGGAATGGAGCGCAAAACACCTCCACAGGGTTATATTTGTCACCGATGCAAGGTGCCTGGTATGTTTGTATCACTTATTGTTATTCTTTTTATTAGGAATTATGGGTTTTGTCATTACTTCTCACTGTATGGCATTCTGTGATTCAGGGCATTTTATTCAGCATTGTCCAACAAACGGTGATCCAAATTATGATATTAAAAGAGTGAAGCCTCCTACTGGGATTCCAAAGTCAATGCTAATGGCCAATCCAGATGGTTCATATGCTCTGCCAAGTGGGGCAGTTGCTGTGTTGAAACCAAATGAGTATGATCAACTCTTATTTGTGTTTTATTTTGGCCTGTTTCTTTCTTTCAGGAAGGTCTCTATTTAGGCTTTAAAATTTTTTTCTCATTGATTTACCTACAGGGCTGCTTTTGAGAAAGAGATTGAAGGGTTACCTACCACGCGGTCTGTTGGTGATCTTCCACCTGAGCTTCATTGCCCCTTGTGCAAGGAAGTTATGAAAGATGCTGTGTTAACAAGCAAGTGTTGTTTCACAAGTTTCTGTGACAAGTGTAAGTTCTATTGTATTCCATGTGTTTTCTTTGGAGAAGTGGCAGGCTTCTTGTTCCACAAGTTCTATTTTATCAGTTCATATCAAATCAGATTTTGTGACTTCATACCTGTGGAATGCATTTAGATGACTATCTTTGAATTATGTTGTCAATTTTTTTATCTATGCCTATTTATGCCGAGAGCAAATTGAAGCTCACTTTGAGGAAATGCAATTCAGGTATAAGGGACTACATTATCTCAAAGTCAGTGTGTGTTTGTGGGGCAACAAACATACTTGCAGATGATCTTTTGCCAAATAAGACACTTAGAGATACAATTAATCGTATTTTGGAGTCTGGTAACAGCAGTGCTGAGAATGCTGGAAGCACTTTCCAAGTTCAAGGTTTGTGATATAGCAATTTAGTAGTATGGTTTTGAATCTTTGATCTTCTCATATCGGCCTATTCTTGATGTTCTTCTTGTCTTTCAAATTTAGATATGGAGTCTGCTCGTTGTCCACAGCCGAAGATTCCTTCCCCTACTACATCTGCTGCATCAAAGGAGGAGCAAAAGCCATTGCTTGCTAGTGAAGAACCCAGAAATGTAATGGATAAAGTGGATGAGGCAAAACCAGCTGTTCCTCCAATACAGATATTTGAGGAAGTGAAGACTGCAAAAGCAATTGATGCATCTGAGGTTGAGTCAATGAATATGAAGGAGCTAGCATCACAAGGCAGTGCCCCTCTTGCTGAAGAAGAAGTGCAGCAGAAGTTAGCTGCTGCTGAGGCAGGTAATGATCAGCAATCCTTTATTTATTGGGGGTTTCTTTTCTAATTGTGAAAAGCCTCAATGGTGGAGTATGGGGCAACACGTTTTTTCCTTTATTCTATTCATGATGAATGGACTGATGATTTTAATTTTGACTTAAAATGTTGCAGGAAAGAAAAAGAAAAAGAAGAAGGCTCGCTTACCGGCAACTGGTAGGTCTACTGCTCTCATTCCTTTTTTTTTGGGTCTGGTTATAATTTTTGAATCTTTGATGTGATAAACTTGTTTTTTGTTTTTCTAGACTTGCAGTGGAAAAACCCCCAAGACCTTGCTGCAGAGTATATGATGCCTATGGCTCCCACAGGATATGATCCATATTGGAATGGCATGCAAATGCAACCTGGGATGGATGGGTTTCTTGGTCCTTATGGTGGTCCAATGCCATATATGCAATATGGACTAGGTCCCTTTGACATGCCCTTTGGAGGAGGGGTCTTTCCTCCAGACCCCTTTGGTGCACAGAATTACTTGTTTCCTGGTGTCCCACCTCAGAGGTATGTCTAGTGTCTGATTCAGTAAATATTCTTCTGTAGATATCTTTCTCTTTCCTACAGACTGTTTATTTTTGTGTAGCCCGTGGTTATGCATCACATATTTGTCTTTGCGGAGCTTTACTGCACTGAAAATCAAAAGTCTGACCTTTTTCAATTGGATTCTTATTATACTCGGCTGAGGTCTTACGAGCCTGTTTGGTCTTTTGATGTTAAAATATGTAGGGATCTTGCTGAGTTGAGGATGGGTATGAATGTTGCTCCACCACCAATCATGAGTAGAGAGGAGTTTGAAGCACGGAAAGCAGATTTGAGGAGAAAGCGTGAAACTGAGAGAAGAGGTGACAGGTAATGTTATTTACATTAGTGGCAGAATCTTTTTTAGTAATGGGATTGAAAACATAGCCTACCTTGAGTACTTTCTGAATAATCAGCTTGAGCATTGAGTTGATTCTCTTGTTATTGATACCCCCTTTGAAGGTATTGGTTCTCAAGTCAAGTATATTTAAAGTTTTCATGAAAATGAGATAAAAGAGTACACAATAGCTTTATCATAGTTTCTTATCATTAGTTAGAGACACTGATTTTCAAAGATTAAATGGTTGATTCATTCATAGTTACCTGCCATTGCAGCAGGGAGTTCTCAAGAGATCGGGACTTAAGCAGGGAAGTGAGCAGTGTTGGCGATCTTACATCCATGAAATCAAAATCTGTATGTACTTTTACTGCCCTACCCCTACTTACCTACTGGTTTCATTTTTCCTCTGTGGACAACAGCAAGTGCCATGCATGGTTTCCACTTACCATATGGCTAGAAAAAAACTTGGCAAGAGAACACACACCTATTTGGCAAGATAACACCTCTTTCTTTTCCTTTTGAGGAAAGAGTTGGATCAAATAATGTAGGATTTGTTTATTGGTCTTTGGGAATTTTAAAATTTTTGAAGTTTATTCTGAGCTCTTTATTATTATTATTATTATTATTATTATTTTAATTCTTGTTATGAGGTGACTTAATTGATATGGAATCATGGAGTGCTTATTTGAGACAAACGTTTTCAATTTTTCCTAAAAATTTTTTATGACAAGAAAAGAGTGAATTGAACTTTTTTTTTTTTTTTGAAGATAAGAAAATGAATTCAACATATTCAAACATTATTCCTCTTTTTTCTTCCTAATAATTATTTTATATTATAAATTGGCAATGGATTCATGAAAGGAAAATTGGGCCCAAAGATGGATTACGGGTTCCCCTGCCTTGAAAATAGTTAGTATGCCAAATTCCTCTTGCCAAAGCCTATAGTCAGTGGATTATTAATATAATTGTCAAAAAGGTGATCCAGTAAATTTTCTTTTTTTTGGGGGGTTTTGGCATTTGTATAATGAAAAAATAATGATAAAATGTTGGCCCCAAAATTGAAAATAAAATATAAATACGTGAAATAATGAAACTTCAAATTTCCCTGCTAAAAATGGTAGGGATTACCAAAGTAATTTAGAATAGGGAAAATTTTAAAGAAAAAACATATATAAAAATGTTTCTTATTGACGTGGAGTCTTACTAACCTTATTGTGATGTTGTGGTAGGTGCAGAAGGTTAATAACCCACCGGCGTCAAGCAGCGAGCATCATCGACACCGATCTGAGAGGTCCCCGGTGGAACGCCACTCACGCGACCTCGAACCGCCACCCCGCCCGTTGAAGAGGAAATCCGACCACCAGCATGATCGTGATCGTGATCGTCACTACGATTACGATGACCGTGAGAAAGACCGTGACCGCCACCACCATCACCACCGCTCGGAGTCCTCTGCAAAGCCCAGGACTGAAGCAGCCACTAAAGCCGCTTCTGTATCTCCAACAACAACTGCCGCAGACAAGAAGTATAAGGGGAGCGTCTTCTCTCGCATATGTTTCCCCGTGGAAGAGGCCAATAAGAGACGCAAGCTGTCCTCTGAACCTGCATCTTCTTCTGCTCATGACAAGGCAGCTTCCAATGGTTACTACGATGAACATAAGTCATCATCCTCTGCTGCTGCTGCAAAGGCTGTTTCCACCGGTGTAAAGAAGAGCAGTAGCAGTGCGATAGATTATGAGTCTAGCGACGATGAGCGGCATTTCAAGAGGAAGCCTTCAAGGTATGAATCATCGTCTCCACCAATGGCTGAGAGGGAAGATGAGCCACGGCACTCGAAGGGGTCTAGAGAACGAGAACGGAGCGGCTATAGTAAACACAGATAGAATGCAGAATGCTGGCTCTGGTAGTGTAGCTGCACTGCTTGCTTCTGCTTTTTCCTTTTCATTTTTTCTCATTCTGGCTGCTGCTGCTGCGTTTGCATCCTTGGTGCAGATGAAATTGGAGAATATAAAATCTTCTTCTTCTTCATGGGGAAAGGAAAAAGGGAAAACATTTGAGATACAGCTCTCTGTATTTACGATTGTATGATATCGTTTTTAATAATAAGTATTTTATTAAAATTTTGGTTTTCTTCCTTATTGATGGAATGTGCATTTGCTTTTGAATTTTTTATTTTTTAATCGTCTTCATATTACATTTTCTTGTTTTTCCTGGTAAAATTCATTAAAGGGCCCATTCAGAGTTCGTTGATCAAGCATCGTAGTTTTGACCATCTCCAATCTCATCATCCAAGTTTATTAATTTGTGCTCAAAGACTGAAGCAAAAACAAAGTGTGAAAAAATTTATTTACTTATAAAACTTATATGTATAATATTTATATA